AGGTTCGAAGTATGATTATGGTTTATGAAATGATCGATTTTGCCATGCAATATCTGTATATCGATATTTCATGAAGATCAGTTATGAAATAGTTTGACACTTCAGTTAAGATGTCAAAAATCGGTTCATTAACGTCATATGCAAAATAATATCCATTCTACAACTATCAAGAATTTCATTCCTAATTCTTTGGTTTCATAGTTCTTTGATTTCGTTCATATTGCATTTGTTCTACGGTGTTGAACATTCTCCGGTGTCAAATGAAGCGTTGTACAGTTTCAAACCAAGTGAACGATAAGGACACATGCAAATTCGATGGAATCGTTTTTGGTGGCCGTGAGAAACCATCTATAGTCCAGAGGCAGCTACAAATGTTTTTCTAAAGGTGATAAACATGATGAGCAGAATTGTAACCTATCGAGTAGAATGCGTCTTTTGAGACTTTCTTCACACCAGAACGAAAGTAGTGACTTTCGACACGCGTTTTGCCAACCAAATTAGCAACATCAGGAGATGACTAAAACTATATTGGATTTTTCAATTCGTATTCAACTTTTGGTAAAATGATTAAAAATATTTCTTGAAGTTGACAAAGTATGTCTACCGCTTGATTTGATGGATTCAATCGTTGACATGTTCATGGAAATAGCAAAATTCACATGGAATCTCACAGTAGATTTTTTCTGTACCTCTTGGCGAAATATGACAAATAGTTCGTATTCGTGTGACTCGTTCGTTAAAAATCTCTTAGAGCTTGAAAATTCATATCTCCTTTGATATCAGCAGGCTAATGGATAGAAGGAAAGATTTATGTTCGGAAATCTTCCTTTCTGTTTTATGATATTATGAAAGTGATATATGACTCACTCATGTGCCCAGTGATATTGAAGAATTTTATAGAGTTTTCAAAGGAAGGAATGAACATTATTAGGAGCAAAATAACATAGTTCGGTAAGGGCATACATTGACTTTTCCAAAATTCGGTAATTCCTTTGTTACGATCCACTTTTCGATAAATGTAATTTGGTTATTATATTGTTCATCAGTTACATATATCTTGAAAATTAAATATCAAAATCAGTGTCACTCTATCATAAAAGGAAATGAAATACATAATTGATAGTTTTTTGTTTCTTTAGTGAATTAACATTCGGAAATTGAATAATCCATTATTCAAGTTGATGATTGAACTTTTCTGTTTCATGTACTTTATATTATGCAACCTAAAAAAGACGGGGCCTGTCTTTACGAATGAAAACACGCCCTAAGAAGCCATTGTATGGCGGAAAACGTGTTGCGTTTTTGTAAAATTGTTTAGTGAAAATCTCACAGTAAAGTGTTTTTTGAATACTATAGTTATGGATTTTCATCAAGTATATATAAATTGGTCAAACTGGCAGAACATTCAAAAATCGCATCGAGGAACATCATACGAGCTATGTAAATGTGAAAACAAGTTCAACATATTCAAATCACCTTTGAGAAGAAAATCATATCTTCAAAGAAGATTTCGAAATTTAACACATTAAAAAGTAGGGGTTGAAGCTAAATCTTTTGGAAGCGATAGCAATTAATGAACCCAAATATCCAAACATTTTACTGAATGAACAACTGGATTTGAATAGATCGCACCATTATTGAACTTTTCTTAGAAACCGAAAGTATTATTATTGATGTATAATTAATATATTGCTATAGGTACCTGATCATAATTGAGGATGTACCTTAGGTATATGAAAGTTGAGTAGATGCTTTGGTAATTATGATTGAGTGAGTACCTGTGTAGGTGGTCCCAATTTTGATTACGCGGGGTATATAAATATTAGAGTTATGAATGAACTTTTAGTACTTAATGAACTACGAAAAAGGTACTGTGTTAGCAAACATGTGATATTTTGTAAAATTGAAGTTTGTGGAGATCAAATCGTAAGGTGTAGGTTATGAAATTATATATAGAACAAATACTGATATAATGGTGCGAGTGTATTTAGTGACATCTACTGTAGGAGTGTGACGTATTAAAATAGGAAAAGACTTTTGGGAAAAATAGGTTTTGGCTTTCTACTTCTCAATCTTTATACATGGAAAAAATATGAGAGTTCTTCTTACGGATCTCCATATTTTTAGTGTATAGTAATAGTGAGAAGTAGAAAGCTAAAACCCATTTTCGTCAAAAATCAATCTCTCCTGAAAATAAACCACTTTCAATTCGAGAAAAGACTTGTACTAACGGCTATCGAGAAGATGTTTTGAAATATCATAAGAATTGGAAAAAATGTAATAATTCTCTGAGCAAAGAATGTGATTTAGTGATTTAGTTTATTGAACAATTGTGAACTGACTATTTTCAGCAGGGATCTGAATCTGTAAGGGTGAGTGTAAGCCCACAGCAATTAGGCCACATGTGACCCATTGTACATCCTCCCGAGGAGTTGTCCTCCTAGCTCATCGTCCAGTTTGTTCTTCCAGGAAGGTGAACAGGTCACTGGGAGACATCTCTTTTATATTGGCAGGTGTAGCCCAAAACTCGCCCAACACACACTCTCTCATTGACGATAACTCCAGGCACTCGCATAAGACATGCCTGACAATCTCATCTTTCTGTTCACACATCCTGTCAGTTCTGTTTTAACCACTATCCACTCCCTACTTAATCCTTAGGCTTAATGATCTGGAGCCTAATGATATCCTGAGCCTTCTTTGGTTTTTGAGCCGTCTGTATATATGCTATTGCATTTGTAGCATCTGGCTCTGTGTTCTGTGTATTTTTTAGGGTATATTAAACACAAACCTGGGTTCAATTGCATCACTGGTTGCATGCAGCAGAGGTTGCGCAGTAAGCGCTTCTCGCCGTAGGCTCAGGCACAATTGACACATTTCTACTTCGGGGTTTACACCAGCCGTGCGCCATCGTAACATGGTCATTAACGCAATCTCCTTAACGTACAGGTCTAGAGGGGTCAGACCCGTAATTAATTCCGTTGCCGCGGTTGGTGTTGAACAAGCCAGTCGCTGTATTTTATATAATTTTTGGATGGCCGTTGCTTGTAGAACTTTCGGTCCCCATGCAATGGCTTCGTACGTTAACATAGGTCTTATTATTGCATTGTAGATCCAGGTGACCCCGACATTGCTCATGAGCCACATATGCTCTTTTTGGACTACGCTCTAGGTGAGAGTTTCATGTTAGCTTCCTGTCGAGGATAGTACCAAGGTATTCCAGCTCTTCAGAGAAGTTTAGTTTGCTTTGAAGATTTCGGGAGGTTTTAAGCCGGATAAACTTCTTTTGCTGGTGAAAAGGACCATCCCAGCAGGAATTCTACTATGATTGAATTTCATAAATGTTAATTCTTTTCTGAAGATTATGTAGATTTCCATAAGTATACTGGATATTGAAGGCATAAATTTCCCTTAAGTGCTGATGTTAGACCTTCTGTTAAGACAACTTTCTGAATACGTAATGGAAGCCATTTCTAGAAGTCTGAGACATCAATATTATAACAGCTGGAGTCACGATTGAAGAGAACAAAATTCGAGCTGGTCGAATGGCAACCGATTTTTGTAGCTCCATATCTCAAATAATATTGATTTTACTATGTCAATACTACTGATTGATAGAGATCTTTGTACTCTGAACATTGATGCTGTTAATTCTTTCCCAAATTTCATTTCTCTGCTTTTTTTTAGCTCATTATTATATAATGACATTGAGCGATTTTTGGCCAATTTTGATCTTTGAACTCAAATTAAACCAAAACGCTGCCAAATTAGCCCGAAAAATTAACCAGGCTTTTGGCAATATATTCTTAATGAACGCACTGCTCATTGGTTTGCGAAATATCAACTTCGAAGCGCGAAAAGTCGTCCCCACGATTTGAACGATTTGTCACATTTCGAGGTCTGTTCTTTTTTGCTTTCACGCAACCAAATCTATCCATTTTTAATTCAGAAAGTCACATGTAATGAAAAGTGGAGCCTCTACGACAACAGGGCAGTGATTGGATACCGTTGAGCCGCTTCTCAAAGGCTAAAACCTACAAAAAAACACTGTTATTGTATGGTAGTCAGCAGCTATTGTCATTCATTATAACTTTCTGCAGTCGAGTCATACCATCACAGCAGAGTCATATTGGGAGGAAATTGACAAAATATACCAAAAATTTCTTCAGCAGCAACCGGCACTGATCAACAGAAGAGATTCGATTCATGACAACGCCCATCCACCATACTCTACAGATCCCTCACCAAGTGACTAACAACTTCCTGAGCACCTTCTCACCGGTTTAACTTTCGATAATCAGGACCAGGCAAAAAACAGCCTTCGTCGACTTCATCCAATCTCGAGCACGCAATTTTCGTACTGACGGAATTGTCTTACGTTGGCAATTGTGCACTGATTTGAATGTCGTTTATTTCTATTGGAATGAATGAGTATCTATTCCCTGAGATATTATAATTCAAAGTAGACTCATGGAAACGGACAACCTGTGATTTATTACATATATTTATCTATTTGGGATACTCGTTATATAATTAGCCTAAAAAGTTATCAAGTTGTCAACTATATGTGAATTAAAAATATCACAAAAAGAACGTCACATTTTCATCTATAAAGTGTTATTAATACGTAAATCAGATCAAATACCACTCATTCACAACAGTTTTTGAGACGAGGATGGGATGACTGAAATGAAACTATCAGCCAGACGTTACGTTTACTGGAAATCTATTGATAAAGACATTGTTCGCATGGTAAGAAGTTGCCCATCCTGCGCATCTGCTCAGCCAAACACTTCAAGAGCACCATTGCACCCTCGGATGAAACTAGAAAATAATTGGCAGCGAATGCATATCGACTATACAGGGCCGTTCCAGAATCATAATTTTTTTTGTTGTTATCGCGCATAATCCAAATGGGCTGAGATTGTTCCGTGTACATCAGCTCCAACTTCTTCATCTTCAATAGAGAAATATTTGCTTGTAATGGATTTTCCGATGTTATGGTTTCCGATGAAGCAACTATATTCACCAGTAAAAATTTCAAGAAGTTTTGCCAATCAGCAGGAATTTTTCAAAAATTTATCGCACTGGGACACCCAGCTACAAATAGATTAGCGAAACGTAACGTTCAAACCCTTCAACACAGACTTGCTGCTATGGCTAGTGAACCTTTTTCTATGCGACAGAAAGTTCGTGAGATACTTTTTCGTTATCAAGCAACACCACTGTCTATTGGGAGCTATTCAGAGCTATTTCTTAATCGACAGATTCGTATTACACTGGATGCTTTGAAACCCGTTCATCATGAAAAATCAGCACTATCAAATGAAAAGCCACGACAATTTAGTGCGGGAGAAAGAGTTCAAGCAAGGTATTACACAAATAATAAACAGTTATGGAAGACGGGAGAAGTTATCAAGAGATTTGGGCTTCTTCACTATCAAGTGAAACTCGATGATGAATATTCTTTGAAGAGACATATTGATCAGATAAGATCGTCCAACTTGCCTAAAAGTAAATCCGTCTTTTTCGTACCTGAAGTAGAAGTTACTTATGAAGATGAATCAAAACAGCCCATTATAACTGATTTGTTGACGATTCCAGTGCAAGATAAACAGGCCAATCAACCTGACAATATCCAAAATGAGGTGTTTGAACCAGCTCAAGGTGAAGTACCTGATGATAAAATACCTCATCCACCAACCAACATAACAGAGTTGAGAAGATCATGCCGCCCTGTTGAACTTCCATCGTGCCTCAATGATTATATAGTTGAAAGAAAGTAATTCAATGAGCGTGGAAGATTGTGGTGTATTACTTATATTTATCTATTTGGGACACTCGTTATATACCTAGTCTGAAAAGTTATCAAGTTGTCAAAGATATGTCAATTGAAAATATCACAAAAAGAACGTCACATATATTCATTTATAAAGTGCTATTAATACGTAAATCAGATCAAATACCACTCATTCACAACACAACCCAATACCAAACGTTTTGTGTGCTACTTCGGTGGACATCATCAGTTGTATGTGAGTAGACTCCAAGAACAGAAGTTGAATATTAAGTTTTTGAGCAAAACCAATGAAAAATTGTGAATAATCCTATTATTTCAAAATCACGAGCAATTTTGAACATTCTAATAAGCAATGAAATGATTTAGTCATAAAGATTATATCATCAACTTCATGTTATACGGTTGGTCTTTAGAGGTTTCAAAGCGAATCGTCGAATCGATGAGAAACGCTTCGTTCATTATTCCATCGATCTCAATAATATTTATGCATTCTGCACACACATTTTCCCCCACGAATTTCAACTTTTCATGAACTTCGAAATGTGCACATATTTCAGCAGCTGTCAAACGACGAATATCATCATGTCGTGCATTCTTTAGAACAGGGGTTCCCAACCTTTCTGCACCTGCGTACCACTAGACTTTTTGAGAAATATTGGCGTACTACCAGACCTAATATTTTTTATAAACGTATAATATTTACGCTTCTAAAAGTGTTCAAAGGCTTTTTTGATTGAATTCCTGAGAAAAATTCATATTTAATGGTTAGATATTTGTTTATTTATAACATGCTTATAATAAAGAAGGAATGAAAAGGATAAAATGGTTTTAATTCACAGTTTTATGTATTACTCAAAGGTATAAAAACATACAAATAAAAAAAATATTAAAGGGTCAGCAAATAATTAATAATCATACAAAATATACTTTTATAGTCTTAAGTGCGGAACTTGTGGTTTGCCTGTGATTGAAATATCAACATTGGGAGTAATGAAACTTATCTTCACTCTTAAGTTCTCTTCAACACTTATTCTGCTTCTATATTTTATTCATGTACAAGAGTTCAGAAAATCCACTCTCACACAAGTAACTCGTAACAAATGGCATCAAAAATAGCAGAGCTTACCGGAAGAGCAAAGGGTACTCGGTTTCACATCCGATCCAGAAATTAGTTAAAGATTTCTCTTTAAAATAATCTTTCATGGAACTATCTTCTGTAAGGTCGATAAAACTTTCTTTTAGTTCCAATTCATTTGGTGAGGTTCCCGAAAAAGAATTTCTGATCCAGTCCACTTTTGAATAATCTTCAGAGAAAAACTTCTTGAAGCTTTTTTGGAGGCCTTCCAAGTGAACAATGATATCAGCAATCACATCTGGCATTGGAGATTTTTTATTTTCTTCAAAAAATGATGATAGAGTGATGGTAGAGAGGAGTTTATTTTGTCACTGAAACGTTCCCGCGTACCACTGGTGGTACGCGTACCACCGGTTGGGAACCAGTGCCTTAGAAGATGTCCGAATGAGTATGGTTCGAATGGGTATGATACGAAGGAAGTGAGGAAAGGTTTCTTTCTGGGTGCACTATCCACACTGGGTTCAGTCTTGAGATCTTCCTTGAATTTCTCTTGAGTGTACGGCATATCCTGTTTTTTAGAGGCTTCTCTCCATTTTATGGAATCAAGCAAACAAATTCGTAATGTAATTAGACTTTTTGCATCAATCTACTGTTTTTCTGAAACGAAATCTACTGCTGAAAAATGCCTGATATTATTGCCCGGGTAGGTATGGTCCTACTTCGTGGTTAACAAAGCCCCAATGAATCAACCAGAAATTGTTCCTTTCACCTCGAGAGGTTTTTGGAGTAGTGCCTTTCTCTTGTCATTTATAAGTTAAATAATTTTTCAGATCCGCCCATCAATCGCTTTCATGTCATAACTGCTCGATAACTTATTGTAGCAGAAATTATTGTTATATTATCTACTTGACTACTTGGCTATTCCAACCTCAAACAACGGATCGTCCACTCAGATTATCCCGTCATAAAGTATGGGCAGGTTGGTTGGATGTATCAATTTTCACACAGCCACCAATAATGAACGAGCATGGTAGGTTAGATTTCGACTAGCATCACAATCGATTTTCTTTCATACACAGAATGTGAATGGAGAAATTCTGATTATTCCACATGAAGGGCTGATAATTGCATATCAAAGATAGTGGGTAGTTTTTGAGAAACTCGAGATAGATTTCTCCTGTTACTCTAGAGTTTATTATTCTTTAAGTGCCTTTATATTATCTTCTTCCATTAGTGAATTATTCATTTCATTATTCTCATGCTAATTTTTTTTTCAANTCACACAGCTGCACGCATTAAACTTTATCGACGAATTTTTGTTATTTCAGCTTGAGGAAATCGTCAGATTATATATTTTTCGTTGTCCTTGAATTTTTTCCTTCAAAATGAAAAAAAAATAGTTACGATCGAGAATGTCGAAATGATGTTATTTGTTCACAACTTTGCTGCCCTCCCCATTCTTTACGTCACTCTGAAATTGTCAGATTACTGGAACATACACTTTTCAGCAGGTAATTAACTCACCCTACCTCAATCTGACGCGCTCGAGAATTTCTGATGATCAATTTTTTTTTCTAATCTTATCCTCTATTAATGTGTCGCGCTTTAGTAAATCTCGAAATCCCCGCTTGGGCTCCCCTATTACCATGATCGGGGGCAAGTAGTTTCACATCTTCAAACAGTATAGTGTGATCTTCACTAAGAGCGTGTTCAGATACTGCCACGCACATCTAGATGTACTCATCGAAAGGCGTGGCATACGACTGACACATGAAGTGTATCGAAATTCAACACATACGGACAGATATCTGCATGCACTTTTGAACCACCATCCAAGTCAAAAGCGGGAAATTATCAACAGAACGTGCTGACAGAACGTGCCCGTAAAATATGTTAATCAAAACACAAAAGAATTGGAGCATTTTTAAGTGACCTTGATATCGAATGGATACAGTGTAAACGAGATCAACAAGGCCATGGAACTGAAGACTACCATAAGTCAAAATAGGGAGGAAACTCAAACGGTTGCACATGCATTTCTACCCTAGGGTTACAGACAGAATCGGAAAAATCTTAAGGAATCATGAAATAAAAACAGTGTTCAACCTGACCAGGAAAATACAACAAAGCCTTAGATCTGCGAGAGACAAAAGAGATCCACTATCAGCTGCGGGGATATATCGTATACCATGCACCTGCGGAAAAGTTTATATCGGCACCACCAGAAGATCCATGGGTGCAAGGCTGAATGAACATCGGAGAAACTGTAGATTATATCAAATAGACGAATTGACAGTAGCGAAACACGCGCTTAGTGAAGGAAATCACACGATACTGTTTGAAGATGTGAAACTACTTGCCCCCGATCATGGATACCACAGTCGGCTTGTACAGGAACCCATTGAAATCCATAAACATACGGAAAACTACAACAGAAGAGAGAAGGCAGTAAAGCTCAACTGCATTTGGAATCACATATTGAAATATGCTAAATTGGCAATAGCGCAATGCAGTGTTACGTCATTAACTAGTAATAACACTTCGGCCAATAGCAAAAGCCTTAGCCAATTAATCATACCTCAATATGTTTCAGGTATATTCTGTTAACTATCATTACAGGAAATTAAATCCGAAATGGAATTGAGAGAACTGATAATATAATTAGTATACGTGGAAATTTCCCAAATACTAAAATTTTATCTTCTCATTTGAAGTTCTGTTGTACTCTCAGTTGGCTATTAGAGCGATGAAAAGCAATCAAAACTGAATGAGATTTTGGAGTTATTATTACCCATATTCGATACTCGAATTGAGAAACTCCAGATGATTCATGAATGATGTGATTGAATCATATCAAGAGCTGTGAAGCCCATTTCCTTTCATCTCATGCATTCGTCATTATCACTATTATTCTCAGACAAATAACTGAAGTTTGAAATGATTCGTATCCATACAGTCTTTTGATATAGGTATTATCGAACAATTACAGTTTATCACTACTACTATAATTCTTATACTCTCTGAAATTGTTTAGACCTGCTTTCCGTTATTGTTCTTCACAATAACGTTTAGTCAACCTGCCTTTTTAGCTGCCTTAGATTTATATTTGAAGTGCTCGTAAGGAATATCTTGTCAACGTTTCACTGAGCAGTGGCCGGAAGAGTGCACTGCACATTAAAAAATCGGAAGAGATTTCTTGGGCCGATTCATATTCAACTGAATATGAAAAGTATGTGAATATATTTTGTTCAACAAGAACCGAAACATATGTATCTTCAAAAATATAATAACGAAACAAGAATCGAAACATATGTATCTTCAAAAATATAATAATGAAAGTGCCTAATGATCCCCAATACATAGGTACAGAAAATAGTTGTGAAATAACAATATTTCATTTCAATTTGTCTTTAAAATATTTTAAGATATAATGCAATGATAGGAAAATGGCGTTCACATGCGTGATAATTGTATTTCAAACAGCAATGAAAGGATGACGAAAAGACTTTATGAACAGATTAAATAAAGATACAATAAGAGCAGTAGTTAGTAGAAATGGTCTGCCATACGTGGACTATTCAAAAATAAGGTGAATGTTCAAATTTCGCAGGCTAACTAAATTTGATTAGCGATATTTTCATATTTTATGTTAGTAAACTTGTATCGAACATATGTTCATAGTTTCAGCTGTTTAGCAACACGTTGAGAGAGTTCAAGCACAAAAAATCCATAACTGCTTCAAGGATTATATCTGAGGAAGACTATTGGAGGAGACAAAATAGAAATTGAGTGAATGAATATTTTTTGAGATAAATGAAAACTGGCTAATTTTTTAAACAGACAACGTACAGTGATATATACAAAAACCCTATGAAATTTCGAGAGTTTATTGGAAAGTTGAAAGGTCTATG